GAGAACAGCAGCAGCTAGCTGGTGTCTCATGCTATCTGCTTCTTATGTTTATCCTCCCTGAACAACCTGGAATTTCATTGTTGGCGTGTTGGGGTGCCATTTTAGGAGCTCTTTATGGAAGTGTCTCTCGCTCTCTCTACTGTACATAACCAGTCCCTCAACCTTTTCTTCCTCTTGCCTGCCTATTTACGGTTTCCTTCTCTCTGTTAGACTCCAGTCAGGAATACACTGACTCCACGGGCATCGACGTTCATGAGTTTCTGGTCAACACACTGAAAAACAATCCCAGGTATGACATTGCCACCAAAGGTTTACTGATATCCACAGCTCTCACAGCCAGCGTTTCTCAGATCGGAGTGAGACGAGGAGAAAAGGTGATGTTGTGATCTTCGCAATAAAACATCTTTGATGTGTCGAGTCTTGGCCAATCAGCGTTAAGATGTCTACACCGTCTTCATTTCCCTCCGTTAAAGTTTAAGTTACGTTATGTTCCATTACCGATCATACTTGCTGAGTTAAGTTAACGTCCACTGCATGCGGAACTTTGTCGACTTTTAACGTTCGTCATTATCGTGATTTAGGAGGAAAAAACGTAACGTGATGAAACATGCCCCCTAAAAACAAATCACTTTATTTTGTACAGGCGATGGTTCTCGCTACTCCTGCTATCTTTGTTTTCATATGACTAAAACTTTAGAAAATGAGACCTCGGTCTCTATGGATTTTGTCTAAATAATAATAATAATATTGATTGAAAAAAATAAAAATGCTAACTAGCCAGCTGTTCAACTAGAGCTGAAATACTGATTAATAACTGAATAATAAATTCGTTTTTGGCTTAAAGTAAATGTCTTATCACTTAATTTTCTTCCCAGAGTACAACAGAATGCTACATTTTAAAGCTCATATATAAAATAAAATTCTCCCGGGAGCATGCCGTGTGTGTGTGTGTGTGTGTGTGTGTGTGTGTGTGTGTGTGTGTGTGTGTGTGTGTGTGTGTGTGTGTGTGTGTTTCTCTCTCTCTCATCTTTTTGGCACACACACAGCTTTCTATCTGTAGATGAACTGTTGATATAAAATGTATTATATCCCCCAAAAATGCCAACATGATTTCCTCCAGTTGTGTAATGAAGGTCTGATAAAAATGCAGTCTGAAAACGATTTTTGGAAGGATCACCGTTGTAGTAGAAGTGAGACAAGCGTTTCTTCCCATTCATCATACCTTTGATCTTTGGTTGGTATGCTTGCTGCACTCTGTCAGTCACTGACACAGTGCCCCTCTGATCTCTCTCCCTCTCTCTCCCCCTTTTGGCCCAACAGGGATCGAATGATGCTGCTCAAACTAGAACAAGATATCTTGGAGTTCATTAATGACGACAAGTAAGCCACGTTCTTCATAACCGCTCTCTTTTATTTAAATTTAGCCCTTTTACATCCTTTCCTTTTTATTTATAGATTGCTGTGCTGATGATATAAATATGGCAAGTTGTAGTTGATTTTTATTGGGCTGCCAGTGTTTCTGGCTCAGGACTCATGTTCCCCTGTAAACAGAATAGTGCTGTTTTAGTATTATGATTTTAAATCTGTCTGAAAGCACTAAATCATCTTGTGCTCAATAGCCAAATTATTTGTCCCCAAAGTGGAATATCGTGCTTGTTCACACTAAAAAAAAAAAAAAAAAAATAAATAAAAAATCATAGAGGGGGCAATTCTTGTGGGAAACGAGATAACAGAAAGAAGTACAGGAGTTACACAAATTACATAATTGGAGTATTTATCACTGCTCTTTAGAAAATATCTAAAATGCAAATTTGTTTGAAAAGGGATGGGTTTTTTTTTTTTTTTTTTTTCAGACAATCCCTCAGAATGCAAATCCATTTGTTCATAGAACAAACATGAGAGGGGTTATCTTCGCAACATATTTTGAATGCTGAAAAGAACTATACCTGTGACAGTAGACATTACAACATTCAACAAAAACACTCTGATTTAGCAATTAGGTGCAGTGTTGTAATAACATGTGCTACTTTGTCTTTTGTGTCCGCTGCAGTAACCAGTATAAGAAGTTTCCGCAGATGACGTCTTATCACCGCATGCTGCTGCATCGTGTGGCCGCCTACTTCGGCATGGACCACAATGTAGATCAGACAGGCAAGGCTGTCATCATCAACAAGACGGGCAACACGCGCATGTGAGTGTAGCTCCTAACTGTGGTCCAGACTTCAGCAGCTGCAGTCCCATATCTTTATATTGGAAGGCATAGAATGTAGAGCCATTTAAAACACTTCAAGAAACATAACATTTTATTCAGATGTAGCCAAGTACGGGCTATCTTAAGCCAATTAAATCCAGAAGAAATGTAAACAGCCTCAAGGGAACACACAATAACAAACCCATGTGGCTGAGATTGCTGTGACAAACCACAGAAGAATCTCACAGATATAAACTTAGAAGTTTGAGCAGAGTGAAGAACAACCCTGAACCAAAGTTTTGACAGACCAGCAACATGTAAGCAAATGGAAAGTTTGTTTCTGCTGAAAGCTGACACATTATCAAGCACACATGTGCACTTTAGATGGAGAGAGATAAGAAATTCTTGATTTAGCAACCCGCACGCTGTTTAAAGTTTGGTTTTACCCAACAGCTGTTAAGTAAAATAGGTGTAGGTAATAAATTTAGCATCACTGGGAATTTAACCATTTGAACCAGGAAATGTATTAAATGTATTATTAAAAAACGGTAAAAGGGAAATAATTTAACGTTGATGATTCATTTAGGGGCTGATGGGAAAGCCACCAACACAAATAACAACTGTTTAGTTACAAATTTGTGATTTTAAGTTTCCTAAAGTGTGACGTACAAATCATCTGGTTAAAAATACAGTTTTGCCAAATCTGGAAAAAATAGTTTCTTGTAGAGGTGTTTATAATGTTAACAGCAGCCAGGTGCAGTTAATGTGTGAGGATGTGTTGGTATACCGCGGCAAATCACAAAACTCAGAAGTGGACAAACAAAATCTGTGCAGATCTGATATTCAGATTTAGTACTAGTTCTAGTATTGACACTTCTAAACATGCCACTTTCTGCTGTTAACATGCTTCAATGTTTCCTCTAATGCAGTCAAACGTTATGTTTTGTCTAGCTTTGTTTTAGTATGTTACAAAGCATGCCTTTTGTCCTCATGTTCTACAGCCCAGAACAAAGGTTCTCCGAACACATCAAGGATGAACGTAACATGGACTTCCAGAAGAAATTCATCCTTAAGAGAGATGATGCCAGCATGGACAAGGACGATAATCAGGTAGGCTGCATCATACACCAAGACATTACTAACTCTCTCCAACTATAACAGGAGAGGGGAAACGGTAGTCGAGATGTGATGATATAGGACCGTTAATTGCCTTTTCCAGATCAGAGGAAAGAAGGCAACTTTGATGCCAACTGAGCGGTGAATCAAACACTTTTTCATTGTTTCAAATAAAACCCGTAACTTAACAGAGGAGTCTTAATTGATTTATGAACGGGTGTGAAGCAGCATCCTTCCCAACAGAGTGGAAAATTGGCATTTGAAAGGGGACTTGGGATGGTACTTACAATAACTAACACAGTCCCCACTTTTAGGTTGTGTTGAAGTCCAAACAGTTAGCCTCTCTGTCCCCTGGTTCAAACGACATTTTGAGATATTATGCTAATTAGGCATCCCGGGCTTCCTATATGCAAAATGCTTTTGTGAAATTGTTAATGATAAAGCTAGAATTGGAGATGGTGTGCTACCACTTGTCCATTTGAAATACCAGCACCACTGAGAGTGTACTAAACTATTAATAAGCCATTCGTATGTTATGACTTTCATGTTCCTGGTGCTGTCTCTCAAAATGACACGGTACAGTTTGCGATGCATTTAACATCTCCTCCACTGCTGCTGATTCCTTCCTTGAGCCACAAAACTGTGTTGCCTGGAGCAGTGCTTTTTGTGATGCACAGATGACTGTGTGGTCGGACTAAGTAATGACCCAAAATAAACATTTAAACTCTTTATGTCAGCAATAAAACTCACAACTGCAACAATATTTATTCATTTTAAGAGGAAAATCTTTTCTTGTACAGACATGTAACAATAGTTTATGAGGTTTTCAGGAACAATATACACTTCTTCATTCCTTCCAACAGTATTTCAAGACTTGTCACTTGTCTTTGGCGCCTAATGCTTCTGCATATTTGCCATTTTCCTTTGTTCTATCACGTTTGTGGTGTCAAACCTTCCCACGCAGCTTCCGCCACTTTTAAACATTTATTTTGCACAGTTTCCATTATGTTTGTTTTGACGGCAAGCAGCTGCTCTCCCTGGAATGCTACTGTTGTTATCATGTTGCTATCTTTACAGCAGGTCGCACTACGTGTGGCTATACATGTATTTAATTAAAACGTAAGTATATAATTGTGAATAGTGCAAGTTAGTCATTTTTCTGATTTGATTGTTTTCCCAAATGTTAGATCCGTGTGCCGCTGCAGGATGGGCGACGTAGCAAGTCCATTGAAGAGCGAGAGGAAGAGTATCAGCGGGTACGAGACCGGATCTTTGCCCGAGAAGTAAGTATTGGACCTGGGCAGGGTAGCAAACACTGGGAAAGACAGATTAACATTGAACCACAAAAGCTGTTACTTCCAGCTCCTTTGACCAGTGACAAGATAGTGGTTCCCAACGTGTTTTGCTTCGGACTTGTTAATAGGGAACATTCTGTACTTCATCACAGGGTGCATGTCTGTGAGTTGTGAGCAGTTCATATGAAGAATGTTTTTTTTTTTAATCCTCTCAGACTGTTAAATACTGTTTCATAGTTTGTAGAGTCCTGAAGAGGTAAAACGATGCACTGTTTTTTTCCATGCTGGTAATCATGTGGGAACCACTGCTTTAAACGCCACGTCACATCAATACATATGATTTCAAACTTAAAGTGTTAATGTGCAAATCGTGTTGGTTTTAAGTACTCGTGGATGAATGAAGCATTTCATAATGTGTAGGTGTCCTTTTTCTTACAGTCCTCTCAAAATGGATACATCAATGACAACAGGTAAGATGATTCATCCTACCAGAGACTCTGTGTGCAATTTATAAGACTCCATCTTTGCCATTTTCCCCTTAAAGATACAGTTTGCTTGTTAGGTTTCAGTTATGAAAGGTGGAAGGCTTTAGACTCATCAATATAACATTTTTCATTTTATATATATTTCTATATATATCTTTTTTTTTTTTAAATCTGACCACTTCCAGTAATGTACCCATTCAAAAGGTGTTGTTCTGTTTATCGCCAGTCAGATGATCAATATGCATTTGCTGACGGTTTCTCTCCTGTGCCAGATTTTCAAGTGTTGTTTTCATGTTAGACTGTGAGGGACACACTGTCTTTGAGGACCATTTGCAGGTAGCGGAACAAATGTTTTCTAGAAATAAGTTAGCTCACACAGCAGTAACTGTCCATCCCTAGGCACCCTGGCCATTGAGCTTGAAAGATTAGGACTTAATATGCTGAGAGAGAGGATGTGTGGGGTTTTCAACAGTCAAAGTTTCTGCGTTTTTTTTTTTTTTTTTTTTTTTTTAGGGGTAAAATTTTTTGCAGTGTCCTTACCTGCTTCCTCTTCCCCCTCTTCTCACACACACCACCACACCTCCCCTTCCTGTTCTCCAATCCAGTCCTGTAACCCCAGCATTTTCTCCTAATGTTAACCCCAACAGACTTTCCACTGAGGGCTACTGCTCTAGCTCTCAAAAGAGGAGGCAGATCTTTAGGTATTGGGGTGCTGATGACTTTGACTTGTGTGTTGCCATGCCCATTCTTTGAAAGTGGTTTGGTGATGATAGTGGTGACTTGTGGTGGTTTTTATTATCCTTGCTTGGCGTAGTCGGCTGATTGATGGCTATTACAGCACTGCACCGTGGGGCTTCCCAATGGCCCATGCATGGCTGCTTTGTGGTTTCACTGGGAACTAACTGACCTACTTACCCTTCCACCCATCTACCGTCAACTACATTTAATATAAAGTAACTGCATCGCTTCCACAGTAATCTGTTTGTTTTGTGGTCGACTTAGTCTTGTAGTTTTTTGTTTTAACATGTCACCTGTTGCGTAGTAGCACATACAATATGTAAGCAGTACATACATGCAAAGAAAACAAAAAGCTAGCTATCAGTTATTTTCATTGTTGATTGTTTGTTTTTTCTTGATTAACCGAATAATCTTTTGGTCTATAAAATATCAGACAGTGAAAAATGTTCTTCACAGTTTCCTAGAGCCTTTGATCCGACCAGCATCAAATCCCAAAGATATTCAATTCACTATTGTAGAGGATTCACAAAAAAGTGCACACAAAAAATGTGTTATTATTATTTTGTCAAATCATATTTTTGTTGATCAACTAATCGATTCAGCTCGAGTGCAACTGTACAAAGCATTCTGGTTATTTTTCCTTTTTATTATGTAAATGTATTTGATGTACATTCTGCTATTTGTAAACATGTTATTTAGAGCTTTTAAGTGTATCCCCTCTTTAGCTTTTTATATAAATCATTTTAAGACTTGATTTTTTTTGTCTTTTTAGACTATTTACTAATTTCTTTGATATGCAGAAATTTCATTAGAGGTTGACATATAATATGTAATATAGTGATTCGGCATTTAAGATTTATGTTTGAAGTTTAGAATTTTGTCCTTTTTCCATTTCACCTAAAATGAGCTTAATATCCCAACCTCAGCATTTACATAAAATACACAGGTGTTGACCTTTACAGAGAACACGCTGTTCAAAAAAGAAACAATAAAACCGCAGACGTCACTTAAATGAACCAAAACAAGAAGCTCTTCTGTGATGGGTGGATTTAGCCGTCTTATAAGGATCGAGAGTGAAGGAAAGACAAACAACAACAACAACAGCCTAGGTTCCCCTGTTCGTGCCTGTGATGGGGAATGGTGTCGTGAGGAGAGAGTGGAGATGAAAGATCATGTGATCAACAGCAGAATCCCTCCTCCTCTCCCTCCTCCTGCTTTCATCTTTGTCTGCAGAGCGAAGCGAACAAGTGTGCGCCTCCCTTTTTACAGAGAGCGGCAGAGCACCCACCCTTCCCTTAAAATAGGCTGTGCAGGGAGAGGACTCAAAATAGATCCTCCAATAATTAGTCTCTCTGAAATATTTATCAGCCACAGCCACCTTCAAATACCACTCACTGTCGCTAGCATTTTACAACCCATACCACATCCCCGTTCTCATCATGGAGATTCCCACTATCAGCCTCACATGTTTTGAGTTAATTTCCCTCTTGTTCTCTTCACACGGACACACTCTGTTCATATCCCTCTTTCAGTTCTAAGAGGGTGGAAAAAAGCAAGTGTTTACTGTTTTATTTTTTTACTCTGCTGTCCTCAATGCAGAGTTGCAGGTATCTGCTCACCTGCAGGGCTTTCTATTTACACTTAATGCTACAGCACCAGCATGTATAACACTTTTGTTTTTATTCATTTTAATTTAACTGTTATTTTCCAGCACAGTAGGACATATTCAAATGGCACAATACTATTCTTAATGCCGACATGTCGATGGCAGACCCAACCATTCGCTTGTGATGGAGGGGTTTCCCAAAAGTGGTGGTTACGCTCACAGTGTGATCATTGGTTTTCTTGGCAGCTGCCCTTATCCAGGGTGACAGCATCACAACAACACAATGAGTGTGTACAGTGTACGGCAATACAGTTTAAAGAATAGTGGTGAACCAGTGGTAGCAAGTTATTTTGTAGATAGTGTGTGTGTGTGTGTGTGAGTCTGGGTGTTGATGTACATGTGGTTTTGTTTACAGGTGTACGTTTGTCATTTCTTGTCTTCAATACAACGTATCTCAAGTGCATGTGTTCCAGTTTATCTGTATTCAAATGTATAACACGTGCGTATGCAAGTGCTCATCCTGTTAAGTCTGTTATGTGAATGTTGTCTCCAGTCATTGATGGTTTGTGTGTTGAATTCACGGATGTTTGTCTCATCTAGTGTCTAGTGTAAGGTCCTGTCACACCCCAGTGTTGATTGTCTGGAGCATCTTTTCTCCCTGCATGTATGTGTTCCTATGTGGACGGGTTTGTAAGTATGTGTGTTGCGTGTGGATGTGTGTGTGCGTGTGTGGTTCTATGTTTAAATTTTGGAATAATATTGTTTGGTGGTTTGTTGCCTGATTGTGGTTTCACTAAAGCAGCCAATATGCATCTGTGTTGAATGCCCCATCCTAAATACAGCCTGTCACACTGTGTCCTCTCTACCTGTTGATGACCTTACTGTGCTCTTCTGCTTCTGCTCTCCCCTCTATCCTACTTTGTCTTTTATTGCCCTTGTTTGTTTCCATCTACATTTTATTCACCAATGTGCACACCTTCTGTTTTCTATACATTCCTCACCCTGCCCATGTACATTTTTGTGTCTCTCTCTCTCTCTGCTGACTCAACTCTGCTTTCAACACACCTCTCTCTTGCTACCTCTTAACCCTGCTGTTACTTCACCTCTCTTGTCCCCCCACCCTCCTTTTTATTTTCTGCATCCATCCCCACTTCACCCACTTGGTTTCATCTCTTTGTCTCTCTCCTCGGTCTCCCCGGGTCTGTCTTCTCTCAGAGGGAACCGTGAGAGCTCCAGCCGGGCGTCTAGCAGTCGTCAAAGCAGCACAGACAGTGACATGAAGTGCCTGGAGCCACGACCCTGGAGCAGCACCGACTCAGACAGCTCCAACCGCACCCTACGGCCCCCCGTCACCAAGGCTAGCAGCTTCTCTGGCATCTCCATCCTCACCAGAGGGGATAGCCTTGGCAGCAACAAAGGCTCACAGGGAAGCTGCAAAGGCTCTCGCTCTGGTAAGGACTGTGGAGGGAATTAGGTCTTCCTAGTGTATGTGCTTGCATTAGCTACACCATTACTGAAAAACTGTCTTTACTATTCATTTAAGTTATTGCTGTTTAAGTTTAAGTACAGCATAAACTCTCTCCTGTCAGGTTCTTGGAGGCAGTCAATGGTTTTATCTAGCTGTTAGCATTTTCTTTTTGAGCTTTCTTATGAAATTCCATGACACTGTTGCTCTTGGCTGCCTGACTGATGATTCAGTCCTTGCTGTTTCGTCAGCAAAGACGTCAGCAGACGCTTTCGACTCATTGACTCATTAATTTATTTCCTCTGTTGCACAATCCGTAGGAAACTTCTGTGGGTTAAACTGGACCAACTAAACACGTACACAGACTTGTAGGCATTGCAACATTAAAGATGCCATCAGCCCATAATTTAACACACTCTGTAGGAGCTGGTGGTAAACTCCTTGAATATAATGCAACCCACACTTTTTCAGATGTAATGTCCGGAAAGAAATGTCATCTTATATTCTGTATTGTATATGGTATTTGATCATATTTTACATTACCTGAATGCTAAAACAAAATGAAATCCTTTGACACTATGAATGACCCCAGGCCCAATGCATTCAACTAGAGACAGGCTTCAACTCTTGTGGGAATGTTGAATTGAGTTTGCCTTCTCGTGGTACAGAAAGATTTCCCATTATGTTGTAAAGACGAGGATAACAGAAGAAATAGACCCAGGTACATGAATAACAGCCTACATTGTGTTCTAAATGATTTTGATAAGGAAGATTTAGTGGGTTTCATGTCTTCTTCTGCATCACTAGGCCTGCCCCTAGTCAGTCCTGATGTGTGTCCCCCACCTGCAGCCTCCCAGTCCAGCCGTAGCCTCCTCCCCTGCCCATCGCAACAGCCACAGTCCCAGGTTCCGCCTCAGACGGCCCTGCTGCCCACTCCACAGCAACACCCCATGAACCACATGATCGCTCAGGTATGAACCCCCACTACCTGCATTTATATCCACTATATCAGTACAAATGAAGAGGCCCTTTAAAGTTAGAGGATCTAATTCAATCTGGTGATTAATAGAACATCTTTAGTGATCGTATGTCAACCCTCCTACTCTAAACGGGTTGAAATGAATGTTGTGCCTGACACTCAATCTTGTCACATGTAAGGAGAAAGTACTTTGAGCAACATTATAAAAGTTAACTTATATAATGACAGACAGTTCCTCTCTTGTTCCTCTCTGAGTTGTAGTAATTACATCTGACTTTGTCAACACGGTTGGATTGTTTTTGTATAATATTTAGAAACCAAATTGGATTTCCATTTCTATCCTATCTGTTCATTAACAATTTCTCCTCTGTGTTCTAACCCACATCTTTGTTATTTCTTCATTTATTTTGACTCCCTCCCTCTCACTGTCTTGCTCCTCTCTCTCTGCCTCTGTATTTCCTCCCTCTTTATGGCGGTGTGTATAGCCAGTGGCATCTCTGCAGCCCTCTCAGCCTGTCTCCTACTCCAGCCCTTCCTGCCCCCAGGTTCTCCTGCCAGTTTCTCCTCCCCAGCAGTACACAATGGTACTGACGCCTCTCTTAGCTTCATCTCCAAATATTCATTTAGTTACAGACTGCATTACTGACACCCTCGCACTTTGCATTTAGATATTGCCTTTTCATTTCTGCTAGAAACTCTTTCTCTGTCATACCTTGTTTTCATTCACATTAGTTTGGTTTTTAGCAGCAGTCGGAGAAGAATTATGTCTTTGCCGCTCTGGCTCATTCAGGTAGTGCTTTAGCAAGAAAAGCCGTTTGCTCGTGTATATGACGTTTGCTTTATATGACGTGAAAATGTGGCAGTTGTGCTTTGCAATTCTTTATTTGGGTAATTATAATGGTTTAAATACATTTTGTTTCCTTTTTGATGTGAAAAATGTTTTAGGTCCCACCATAATTTTATATTGGATTCCCTTTTTTGGGAAGCTAATTTATTAATGATACTGTAGTCAGTGATTTACATTCTTTGAATGAAACTGGTTTGTGTTAAGACGTAACAAAAGTATTTAAACTTGAACCCTAACCTCCCAGAACAAAATGTATCTGGGTTTAAAGATTTTTATAGAATTTGAGAACAACTTAATTAAATGTTACATTTGCCCAATTTGTTTAAATTGGGTAGTATTCACTTCCCACATAAATTCACAAAATTATTGAAATTGCAGCTCTCTCATCCTGTTCTGTCAGCAGTGACCGGATGAGTGTTCGTATAGATCTAAACCTTAACAGATCACAGACAGATGTGAAGATCCAACAACTGCATAACTGTGTCCTTAACTTAAACTTGCAGTCCAGTTTTTGTTATTGTGCTGGATTCAGAAATAAATAAATTGGTATTGATCTCTCATCTCTATGAAAGATGATGGATGGGGTTTTTTTTCCCCCAAAATGTCAGTTTCCTTAATACTTTCATCTAATGTCCTCTCAGACTGTTGTTAATGTAGCATTGTGGCTTTAGGGATCACTTTGAATCACTCAGACAAATCACATGAGGCACTGATCTGGAGATACCAGCAGCTAACAAGACTTCTATATAAAGATACATCTAGCTGCTGTATCAGCTTTATATTCATAGATGATGCATGCGGTGACTTGCTGCAATGCACTTTATGGCTAACAATGCCTGCTAGTGTTTCAGAGTACTCTACTAGTACTACAGTGTAATTTGCAGATAATTGTATCACACATGTTGTACTAAATACTGTGTAATCTAGATTCATACTAATCATTTGGTACTTGTGGTTATAGTTTATAATCAAAACCCACCAATGACATCATACCAATTCCTCACAGGGAGAAGAGCTGGCGCCCCAATTCACCCAGATGACGCTGAGTCGGCAGAGCTCCAGTGAGAACCCTGAGCCTCCACCCATGTATCAGGCTCCTCCCACAGTGCTGACCCAGCACCCCCCTCCCCAGACCGGATACATCATGGCTACCACGGGTCAGCCTATGCCGCCTCCGTCTGGTTACCAGCCGGCCACTGGACACCCCCATCCTCCACCTCCACCGCCTCCTCCATCCCAACCCGTCATGCAGGCCCCACCCCCCCCACAAGGCTACATGCAGCCCCCTCCACCTCAACAGGTATGTCGTCCTCCACAGCTTGTGATGTATTAAGGCATCAGACACGGGTTCAAATCCAGTTCTCACGTCTTTTTAAGTTTTGTTTGAATGTCATTCAAGTACCAGAAGCAGTGTTTGGCAGAAAGTGATAGTTCTATAACACAGTATAGAAATATTGAAATATTTTATAACGATTGTGGGACCTGACCTGCCTGGCACTCTGGTATTGTCTTGTGTGGCAAACCCCCTCAATTTAGAATTTTATTGGCTTTAACATATGATAAGTATATTTTGTACCATCGTCATAATAGCAATGTATTTTGTATTGTAATTGAGGCTTGCAGACTAAACAGGCATTCATATCCAAAGAGAAATACATACACAAGAATCAACACACAAATAAAACAAAGTTAAATGCAATGTCTCGTTGTTCTATGGCCACCGTACTGGACAAGTAAAATGTGTTTTCACGTGGTAATTTGATATTAAGTTAAGTTATCATCTTGGATGTTGTTTAATTCACTGCACAGAACGATCCCCACATCAAACAAGGTTGAGAACCTTTAGAGCGTTCACTTCATTTTGTTTTGTGGATATTACTGCTGTGGACAAACCCGATTCCAGGAAGAACCGATGATATGAATGCTAATTGTTTCTGGTAATCGAGGACTTGAGTGCTGTTGATTTTATGGAGGGAGCTGCTATCTGTGCTGGAAGAATTCAAGTGCACCAATGTTATGCATGTGGGAAAGTGTTGATTTCTCCTTTTTAGGTTTTAATTAATTTCAAACACACTTGACACCAGCTCCATTCATATCAGACTGTTCCTGCTTCCTTGAGATTTTTGACACTGTTGAAGATCATGTTCTTTACACCTCATATTAATGATTATGATTAATTAGAGTGTTAATGTAAAGATGTATTGATGAAAGAGAAGAGTACACATTGGGATCATCGCTGACATCGCTGACAGTCTTCTGGTGGTTTTCCTTTACAGGAAACAAGGTTTGTCTATTGCTTTGCAGATATTTTAAATCATACATGCAACAAGTCACAACAAAAGATGAAGCTGTTGCAAGTAACTCCACAAATGATCCTTTTAACATTGTTAAGCTGTCTATGTTTGCAAATTCATCTTCAAATGCTAATATGTTGCATCCCGTGTAGTGTGGTAATTATAGCCACACCCAAATCTCACCTGCACCTGGGTTTGGGAATTGGGCAATTGATGGATTTAAGACCGTGAAACTGTTCTGAACTGAATTATTTGGTGGATAATAGTTAAATACCTCCATCTCCTCCTTGGTGGTAGTTTTAGGCTGAACGCGACGCTCAGTCTCCAGCAGGTCCTCAGGTATTCAGCATTTTTAATGTAGGTAGATCATTTTGACTTGGTCATTTTAAAAGTAGCTCGCAAGTCAAAAAAGTGTGGGCACCCCTGGTGTACCGGGAAGTAACTACTGATAGATTGTTGCAATAAGACATTTGAGAGTTGCTGAACTATGGTGCTATAAAGTAAGATAAATTAACAGCAATTACAGTTAAACAACGTCAAACGAGGAATTAGTTTCCTTATACAAGGAAATGGTAACTAGTTTAATAGGCAAGCCAACTCTAGAATACATTGTGTCAATTTGATATGTTTCCACATACACACTAATCTATGTTGTTGTTCAAAGTGTCAATGAAGGGTAAAAATAGCAGTTCATGCATCCTTATTCAAATGTATCTCCACAGTGGAAATGCTTTGAAATTAAACAAATGCACATAAATTAGGTAAATAACATAAAACATAGTCTCATCCTGCGTTTTACTGCTTATGGTGTGTGGTAAGTCGGAGCTCACGCACGCGCACACACACATACACATAGCCCCGCACAGCTGAGAGTTGATGCACTGGTTGCGTCGCTGTGCATGAAAGCTTCTTGAGTAACACCTGTGTGACAGCTGACGTAAAAACGAAGGATTGGACCGGGCTCAATATGGCCGATACCATTCAGTTAGAAAATGCCTTGGTCAGACCTGATACAGATCTTTGGGATCTAATCACAGGGAAAGTACAAATTTCCATCAAAGAACCATTTAAAGCCAAGAAAGTATTCCTTGATTATTCATTTATTTTTGGAAACTTGTGTGCCTGTAGACAGATGTTCAGCCCGCTGTGCACCTACAGACCAGGTTACACTTGCTTAGCCATCAATTGGAAGAGTACTAATGTAACTCTTAACATTTATCTCTTTTGTAATGACGAACCCATAAAAACAACACGTAACTGTAAACACGACCCAGTGATGCATAAGTACCATAAATATTACAAGTTGAGAAGAGCTTTCTTTCATCAATTCAAAGAGAGACACAACCGGGATGTGGTTCCTCTGAAGCAGCAGGGTTCACCCAGTCGGGGAGTTTGATCCTCGCCCCCAAAGAGCCGTGTGTCACCTCAGCTCGCCTGTCACATTCTTCCGATTGCCGAGGCGGTGACAATAATGAGTTCTCTCACTCTCTGTCACTCACACTTTTCCTTCCCTCCCTCAGGCTTCTGCTTGAATCCATAAAGAAGTTATTAGAGTTCATTTCAGCAGAGAGGACTAAATTGACCTGGCCATTAAACACCCTGTGGGAGACATTAGGCCCTGTAATGTTGCTCTGGGGCTAAGTAGGAAAGGAACATAGTCTGTTTAGTAGAGTTTTTAATAGCGGAAGTGACTAAATTACTTTTTTTAAATTGGTTATAGCGTTGTGTTCATATGAAGGCAATCTGGGGGTCACTATTATCGCCTTAAAGAAGCTTGCCAATTAGAGCCTCCCAACAATAATGAAGTACACCATCACAGGGCCAGACTTCTTCCACAGGAGATGTGATGGAGAGTAGACCATCTGCTGGAATCAGGAGCACATTTTAAAGTACTCCAACAGCTCTGCAAACCAGTAGTTGTATGTTACGAAGGCATACAACCACAAGGAAGTAATACTATCTATTCATTTTCTTTTTAATGGCTCTTATTTTCTGCACTTTTTATTTAGTAGTTCCAAGCTCTGACTTATGTAGACGGCGTCTTTTCATGCCTTTTATCCTCCTACACACCTTCATATACTTAGTCGTCACTCTTAGATTTCCAAACGGTATTGGCTGGGTAAAGGAAGAGGCTCGGTTTAGCTCAACGTGTGGGTGGCCGACGGTGTAACGGGAGTGCAAATATTGACACTGCTACAGCCTCTTGTTGTCATGTATGCAGATGAAGGCGGAGGCAGGAGCTATCTATCTTCCCAACATTCAACTTCCTCTGTTTGTCCATTTGATGTCTTGTTTGGAAACTCTCTATGCTACATTTAGCCCAGTTGTGTAAGCTGAGAGCTGTTCAAGCTTCAACGTTGGATACTTGGACCTCTGTAACTGTTGCACATTGTTCGCTGCTTGCTGTTAAACATTCTTTTGTGCAAAATCACTGTTGATGTGTTGAACACTGACAAGGAGCAGAGAATTGAGTTCTCTAGGAATTGTCTTGAGTCTGTTATAATCAATATTTGATCAACAATGGATCACATGACTTCTTATGTGCAAGCCGTTGCTTATCGTTAAGTGGCGCAACGAAGCTGTATAGTAACTTTGAAGTCATTTTTTGGGGTTTTCCGGTCCAATACTTAAATGTTTTGAATCACTGTCGACAATCTTGTATGTTGACTCATTTTTGGCTACAGCAGGAGGCTGTTTACTGGGCTATCTACCTGTCCTGCACCAAACGCCAGACAGACACAGCTGGTGACCAGCTGGTGAACATAGTGGAGCAATTAGCAGCTGAAGCAATTCATAGTTTGTGGAGACAAAAAAACAAAAGTAAAAGAAGAGAGAATAGAATAGGCACCTGACTCCAAACGAATGCTCGTGTTGCTTCCTATCTGCTTTTTGTAGAAACAGTAAAGTGTTTGCTAG